CGTTAGCAATAACTAACAAAATATTGTTGTACTCGTTTTACGGCTTGGGATTACCTATCAGAAGACAGAAATTACATTTGCCTGAAATAACATTAGCTCGAATTTTCATAATGTCAAACGTATTTTTTAGGAAGATTACAAAACAAAAGCTAATTTTGTCTTTGTGAAAAGCATCGAAATTACTCGAAAGCGGTTTTATTACAAATCGGTTTTCGGAATTATGGATATTTGAGTTTACTTTTAGTTGGAATATCGGTAAATTTCTTATAGTACACGCTTATTTTCACATTTGTAGTAATATTTGTATGTATATGTATCTGCCCAACTCTTTATTATTTCTTTAAGTAAATTTGTACAAAATTCAATATCATAATATGTATAAAAATTAATTAATATTTACGATAAAGGCTACTCCATTACTCTTGTGTTCAAGTAATTTTCAGTCGAAGCTAAATAATGGTGCATTTTGTTAAGGTTCCAGTAGAAGCTGAATATGGTGTTTTTGGGCCCTTAAATTGTTGCAAGCACAATTAGGCAGTACTGGAATGACGTTACAATTTAAATTAAATGTTTTAGTTTTTTATATTTCGTTACATGTCACTACGGTTGTATCGGTTAACTTCGGACATTTTTTTCGCGGTTTTCGTATTAGACCCGAGACGTCCATTTATTCGTAGGTTTTAAGGCTGCAATCGGTTCGATTGGCTCCGTATAGACTCTGTCTTTAACATAGCCCCATAAAAAATAATCCAGTGGCGTTAAATAACGATCGGGCTGAATTTCGTGAAATTATGTGATCGGAAAATTTGGTTGGTAATAAATTCATTGTTTCGGTGGCTGTGTGACTTGTGCCGTAGGCACTGGGCCGTTTTTTCTCGAAAATTCGGTTGGAAATGCGGTTACGGTCAATGGGCCGTAATAATAATAATAATTAATTAATTTTATTGAATTAATTTTATAATTAATTTAATTAATTAATTTCCGAATTTTAATCGATTGATTACGCTATCCAGAGATGTTAACAACTCAATTTTGGCCTATCATTGATGATATGGATATCACTAATCACTAATCATGGACATTTATCAGATATCATTTTTATTCATAATTGCCAAACCTTACTTTTATTGAATAATTGTCATCTAAATTCATTGTTTTATTTTGATTTACAAAATAAAATTTCTTGTTGAAAAATATTTTATAATTATGCACTTTAGTGTAATTTAAAGAATATTGTACAAAAAAAATTGACTGTGGATTACACCAATATCCCGATTATAACCTAATTGGGGGCTGGGTATATTTGTATGATGAGGTTCAAGTTGTTAACTGTTTAAAAAAGTTTATCAATATTAGAAAACAATTTTGATAGCATTAAATTCGTTACGTCGTAACGAATTTAATGCTATATACCCACTTGACCATAGAGTTTTCACATTACCCATTCCTTTATTAATACATCATACTTTATGAGCAATTAAAGTTCAGCCTTAATAAATTTCAATCTTCGTGAATTTCGCCTTCGTTACATTTTCGTTTTATTAGAGTTGGTAACATTCAGTGCTTTCTTAATGTTTAATTTACATTTAGCATAAACAATAATATATAAATATAAGGTAATGTTGGTTTTACTTTTCGATAAAGAAAATCCTCTTTTGAATGCCAACATAACAGAACAGTTTGATGCTATTCTTTATGGATTACTAAATGCAGGTTTAGTTTCAAAGTAATTTAAAAAAGGAATTAGATGCTTTTTTTTCAGTTGTGCGAAATCGAAATATTAGAATTAATTTCAGCAAAAAATAATTATAACATTAAAAATTCAGTAACTGTAGCTGTTAACAATGTGTAAAATTTAGAAAAGTGACTTCTGCTAAATGACCGAATTGTAGAAAAATATGATTTAAAATAGTTCTACACTAATATGAATTTAAAATAGTTTTTTTTTTCCATTAATGGTGTATATATTATATAACAATTTGTATTAATAGTCGTTACATTAGATTTAAAGATATAAAATTTAGTTTGTGGAATTACAAACGATCGGTTAAGGCGTTATTGTCAAATAATTTATTACTAACGGGAGGAAGCTCGGAGCATGAAGATATTAAGTTGAAAATTTTGTGATTAAATTGTAAGAAAAATATTTCATAAAACCTCTCCTTACTTTTCATGAGAAAAGTCAGAGATACTATGTTGAAAAATAATTGTTAATGAGACTCTGTAGTCTATCTGTACAAACTTGGCTAATTAGCACTTCGATTAGTGAGAAAAAAAAGACTCCATTAATTTTAGACAAAATTAACCACGCTGGTGGATTTTGACTGTTACTTAGTCAGTCACTTGGCAGTCGTATCCAAGTTTAAAGATTGTGTTTGTTATAGAGTCTAAGAAATAAATCACAGTTAAATGAAATATGAGTTAAAATCTACTTTTAAACAACCATGAAATATATAAGTAAGTAGGGACCGGAAGAGGGAACCATTGTAGGCGTTTCAATGTATGCCAAATACTTTACGCTGGCAGATACGCCAGAATTTACGTTTCTTGATTACCGGTATCGAAATGTGTTTACCGGTACAATGTAAAACCTACCTTATATCCATGCACTATGTGTTGTATTTTTTAAGTTCTGAAACGCATTATAACGTTACCTCTTTCGGTTCACGCATATAACAATACATAAAACGATATTATTGGTAACGCTTCCGTTGCTTACATTTCTTAACTAATTTCTATGCATTAACTAACTCACTCATATTCCATTTTTCTTTTACAAAAGTGTATTAATTAAAAAAAAAGACCAAGAACTGTCTTATTATCATTGTATTTTATATATTTGTGAAATTTATTACATAAAATAATAGTTAAATTTTTTTAATTTTTAAGATTTAATTTCATAAGTTTCACGATAAAAATATCAGAGATCTATGTGTCATAATATGTTTTACAGATGTTTGCTGTCACACGAAGATCGCGTTTCAATAAAATTTCAAAAATGTAAAATAGAAAAGTGTGTAATGTAAAGTTACACGTCATTAAGTTCATGCTACTTGCTTTATAAAGACTTAAGACTGAAGAAGTAACAGTAGAGCTACTTGTGAAAGAGTTCGTCCAGGGTAGTACTGCCACCATACCTATTTCTGCAGCCAAGCAGTAATGTTACCATCACGGTGTTCCGGTTTTCGGCACATGGGACTTGTCAACTTGTCTCAGAGTGACGGGCGCACTGGTAGTGCCCCTCAGATCTTTGCAATTTAAAGCTCTGAGTGGCACTGTAACTGTTATGGATAGACATGTAGCTTACCATCAGGTGCACGACTTGTTCGTCTCGTCACTTGATATTATTCAAAAAATAAATAAAGGTATGTTAGAACTTCAATTTCATGAGTTGAAAATTCTCCGCAATCATAGTTTGTATAAGTGAAGCTTTTCCAAAGCAACAAAAGTATTATTAAAAAAAAAACAATTAAAAGTTCTTTTTTAATGTAACTGCAACAGTGCTACACAGTGCAGTGCAGTACAACACAGAGCTTGAAGCCTAGACAAGTCTTTAGATTTAAATTTGTAAACAGTTCTCAGTTTTTTTAAATAAATTTAACTGTGATAGAGACAAGACAGCAACAGTTTCGGGTTTGCAAAATTAGTTTAGAAACATATGCAACGAAACACCAATAATAAACACACGACGCATTAAGCTAGCTATGAGGTGAGACGATCGTTAAAACTTACGCATATGTGACTTTTATAGCACTCAAATGAAATGGACATCGTTGTGCTTTGTAAGTAAGCTAAAATATTGACAAGTTCGGCAGTGCTTTAAGGGTAAAGACACATTATGCAAAAGACATAAGACGTATGTCCATAAGTGTTATCGATGCGACTCATGATTACTAGTTTGAATTTTCTGTTCAATCAAGTGTATTTAGGCCCTTATCTTGTTATAGAAGATTTGTCACAGAATATAAGGATAATGAAGAATGAAAAGGAAGAAGTTTTACATAAAAATAGGACTAAGCCCTATTACTCATGAAAAAAAAAATATTACGTAAATTTTTTTTTCATTTTAAGAAGGGTGATAGATAGATAGATATATGTAGTTCTAAGATATATTCATGTATTCATATTATCCAACTCAGTAATAAATCAGTCTTACTACCATACGGACGTTTTCTCTCAATCATCCCGCTTTGAACCCTATAGCTTTATAATACGCAAGAATGGAACAAGTCACAACAAAATGGAAATTGTGCAAATGAGCCAAAGTACATTTGCATCGAAGCCCATAATGTACTTTACTGTACGCTGTGTCGCTACCCTTAAGCGACTAATATAACAAAGAAACAACAACAATGCAATAAAAAGTGAAGAATACTAATTTGCAAGAAATATAATACAAAGACCTTGTCCCGACATTTTATATACTAAAAATATGTTTTCTATTATTTCAATACACACTTTTTTTGTATTTACAAATAGAAATTTAACATTTGAAAAGTAAATGTACATTTTACAAACATCTATTAAATGCTATTATTACGTACTACTATTTTTTAACATCTGTTTTTACGACTACTCAAATACTGTCCCGGTCATGTAAATAAATATAATAAAAAACTTTTTTGTAACTAAGTCATAGTGATCACTCAATGAATTTGTTTCATCTACAAGTTTGTTTAAAAAAAGGATCTAGTTTTGAAATTTTAGATTTGTAAACTGCTCTTAATTTCAGCCACTACGCATTTAAAACTGAACAGTATAAGTACGTATTGGCTACGATGTTATTCAGATCTCGAGATGCATCTCAAGCTTTCCTGTTAACCCGTCACGCGTACTAGAGCTGTGTTCATCCACCGCGTTTAAAAATTTGTGAAAAAATTCTAATTTTTTCTAAAATTTACTAATGTAAAATTTTTCATTTATAAAAAAATTATAAATTTATTTTTACATTTTTTTACCAAAATCATTAAGGACACCGTGGATTTTCAAGGACGCGTGGCGGGTTAGTCTATAATCATTGGCATTTTGTATGATACCATCTCAAGTGATCAAGATCGTACAAGTTCTATTATTACTATAACTGCAGGAAGATTTTATATAGTGCGTACATTTTTGACGATTAGGTGGTCGTTACTTTATTTGTTGGGGTTTTTAGGATGACATTATTTAATTCTCTACAACATGTATTTAATTTAAAATGTAGCTCTATAATAAGTTATTTCAACATTTGTAGTCGACCCAAAATCATTGGCCTTGTGTGTATTTTTCATTCTATTTCTATGGCGATTGTCAAATCAATGAAATTGTACACAAACACACAAAAAATAAACTACCATGATCACTGATAGCTCGATATAAAGTATCTTACTCAAATTCCATGGGAGTAGGGCTCATGATGTCGATTATAATGTCCTCCATGTTAGGCAGTACCAGAACTTTCTCGAATTCCTTAATAAGTCTCTGCTCGATCCAATTAGAAATGTGGGCGAAGCGTAAAGCGCGAGTGCCCACCGCTGGGCGTGCCTTCAGTACTAATTGAGGATTTGAACGGAACCTGACAACAAACGTTGACGTTTTAATGCTGGGCACAGAGTATTTTTTTAAACGCAACACATTCATAGCCCCGCACTAGGGAAACCCTGCGTCGCGGGTGCCACGGACACACACATAGACAACCACAAATTACACACAAACTCACGAGAGAAATAAATATAGGCCATACAAATATTTCTCCCGGAGCGGGAATCGAACCCAGGACCTCTGCGTGGCAGTCCAGCATGGTAACCGTTCGGCTACAGAGGCAGTTAAATTCTCTCGAATGAAAGAGACTAATTTGGAATCACGTATAGAAATACTTTCTCTTCTTAGACAAAGGTTTCAAACTTATAACTTCCATCTTAGGCGTCGGAGGTTAAAAACGAATTTACTCAGGTAATTTGATATTAATATAGAGACGACCCGAATGAAGTCCAATTGATTGATGTAGCAGAGAAATATTTGTATGCCCTTCATTTATTTCTCTCGTGAGTTTGGGTGTAATTTGTGGTTGTATCTATGTGTCCATGGCACCATCTAGGTTTTCCTAATGTGGGGCTATACTCAGCCGTGTCCGTTATTGTTATATTATTATTATTTACTCACCCAAACCAGAGGCGGTCATGAGGCGGCGGAGGCAAGTTGAGCACGATGCGGCCTTCCAGGCCTTGCACCTCGAGCTGTAGTTTGATGTCCGTGTTGGATAGCCCTTCCATCGCACGTTTCACGTACTTGTAATCTATGACCTGGGCATAAAATACACATTATCAAAGACTTACTCAACGCACTTGTGACACAATGTACCATTAATGCATTTTATTACAATTTATGCAATATTTATAAATTTATTTCTAGACAAAAAAGTACAACATAAAGAATTCAGTAATTTTTTTTATAATACCAAGTGACGGGACGAACAAGTCGTGCGCCTGGTGGTAAGCGACACGCTTACCCATAACAGTCGCAGTGCCACTTTGGTCTTTTAATCGCAAAGGTCTGAGGGGCACTGTCCCTGTGCCCGTCACTCTGAGACATAAGTTAATAACTCCCAAGTGCCTGTAACTTCACCAACACACCCTTACCCTACAAAACCGGAACACAGTAATGCTGTTATTACTGCTTGGCGGCAGAAATAGGTAAGGTGGCAGTATTTCCCTGGATGAACTCTTTCACAAGGAGCTCTACTGCTACTACCAACAGAGTGATATGTTTAAGTTTGTAAAGCATAGTATAATACATACCTGTTGAAAGTATTTATTCGAAGCTATTTTATCCACCATTCGCATAAATTTCTTCTTAGATGACGAAGTCGGACCTTCGCTACCCGACGTTACTCTGGAAAAAAAAAATTAGTATATTGGTGGTGAGAGGAAACTGCCTTACGAATGAGTAATAGAGTTGACATTTCGAGTGTAATCTTTATGTGAGTTTGAGTAAAAAAAAAATACAAAAAATAATGTAATTAGTAAGAGTACTAAAAAACCGATCTGAAAAGTCATTCATTCGTCGATTTCTTGCATGTATATTATCGTGTAATATACATATAAACAAAAATAGAGTCAAATTGAGAACCTCATTCTTTTTGGAAATCGGTTAAAAAACAACGTTGACACCTAACAATATACGAGCAAGTTTATGAACATAAATAAACCTTTTTGAGATGAAGGAATTACTAAGGAAAAATTATTTAATTTAACTAAAGGAAAAATTTAAGGAAAAACTGCTTATTTTTTTAAACGTCAAAACCTTGTAGCTTTTTTAAAAAGCGTATTTTTTTATACGCTTTTCACTTTAACGCTTTTTAGTTTCAAGCTTAAAAAATCGTTTAGGAAAACGTTTAATCGCCAGAGATTTACGTTAAAAAAGGTTGCAACGTTGTGTTGATAGCGAAAAGCAAGAGTGGACCAATAGAGCTTTTAAGATAAGCAAGTTTATTTGTAAAACACGAGTTTTATTTTTATTTTTAAAATTATTGTTCACATTAACGAATTAATTTGTTAAGGAAACATAAATGGTGGGACTTGAAACTTAGGCACGTTGTAAAAAATGAAATTGTTGAGTATAGAATTGACTAAAGTTTACGCTAAAATAAAAAGCGTGTTAAAATGCTTATTTTAAAAAGCAAATTTTTTTAAGTGCTCTCGTTTAAACGCTCACCTCTAATCGGTACAGTACACAGGACGTTGGATTCCCGGTATTACAGGGAATTTCCTAGTTTAAGACCAGGCAATTGGTGTGGTTGTTTGGTATATTATTATTAATATTAGTACTCACGTAGATTCGGATACAAAGTTCACGTCGGAGTCGACAGGGCGTATTGGTAGGTCGTCGTTGTCATCGCTCGACTCTGCCGAGTCTTCCATCTCGGAGTCGTAAATCGCGGGCTTGCGTTTCTGTCAATTTAATTATATATAAGTTTAAGCTATAGACAGCTAGAAACGATGTTCGGAGAGGTCCAGGATAGAGTTAGTAACCGTTATATGGATTACGTTATTTTTATATACAATATCAAGTGACGGGACGGACAAGTCGTGCACTTGATGGTAAGCTACACGCCTGTCCTTAGCAGTTGCAGTGCCACTCAGAGCACTTTTTATTAATGCTTGGCGGCACAAATAGGTAAGGTGGCAGTACTTCCCTGGACGAACTCTTTCACAAGGCGCTCTACTGCTGCTACTTCAAAAACAAGTAACGCCGCGAAGATTTTATACAGGTTCAGGTGAGATAAGGGGAATACCGAGGGAAGAGGGACTTGAAGCTTTAACTCATAATGTAAAGAGTTTAGCCATATAGTCTCCCAGTCGATAAAACAGAGAAGTAAATTAGTAACGATTTTAAAGAGATGTTGCTACGATGCTCCAAATCCAAAAGTCGAAAAAAAAAATTTTAAAATTGTGAAATCTTGAGAAGACAAGGTATACATTACCTTTATAACAAGTACGAAGACTTTTTCTTTTATACCATCTTTTGGGGGAAGATAAACGTTACGTTTTCGGCAAACACATCGTAAGTATTGAATTTAGCGTAATGGTTGTTAAAAGATGTAAAGGTGATAAATAAAGACACGTCTAGTGTACTTCAAAATTCTTACAACACTATATTTCTTCTAGATACAGCTCAAAACATTTGAGTTCTTAGGTTTTCGCGATTGTTACACATAGGAAATGAAACTATTTTTCCGGATTAAAATCGCGTATATTTGTTTTTTCAAACAAACCGTGACCATGGGACCTGTAAAGGGCCCGAAACGTCGGTTTGTTTGAAAAAACAAATATACGCGATTTAAATCCGGAAAAATAGTTTCATTTCAAAACATTTGATTGAAAATAGTATGTGCCTCTTACCCTACCTGATTCAATTACAATCAGAGAAATAAGGAAATGGTCACGTGCGGTCACTTATATTTTTCACCTTATAGTTCAATACTAATGTACTTACTCTAAGTACATTTCTCTCGGTCATTAGTCCCGTGACTGAGTTGTCAGGATCTAAAAGTGATTCAGCCGTCAGCAACTGTTCTTCTAACGATGAATCTGAAAGAAATTTTGTAAATATATACACACATACACAATGAGAGACAAAATGTGCACGCAACGCGTTTCGGTTAGAAAATTAAATATTTTACTCTAACTAACTATTATACAGAATGTGCTGATTGTACAAGTTCTCACGCACAGTGACATTTTTTATTAACAATATTGATGCTTAAAAAAATATTGTAATTTTATTTTATCAAAGATACTAACTTCTCTCCTTAAGTTTCATAAGATTGATCTGAGTAAGAATAGTGATGTACGCGCCGCCGTCGTACCGTACGTCAGCGTCGAGCCACACGCCGCGTTCGTCCCACGACGGCAGGGACACACGCTCCACTAGTGGGCACGCTCCAGCCAACGACATCTCCGTTACCATAAGCGGTGACATAAATGACGGTAACTGAAAATATTTATTTGTCAAACATGCTCGGAAATGTTTGCAGTACTTTAAAAAAAGAACTCACAAAGTTTTTCACTTATGGAGCGCTCAATTCTTTGTCAGTCTTGACCGGCAAAATAAGTGTGTATATCCATTTATGTCAAATGGTCTCAACATTTATTCATGTCAAACTGTCATCCTGTCCACTGCTCACTAGCATCCGTAATTGCGAGAATTAAAAAATACTATCTATGGCATTACTTATTTCACGTTTAATTATGGCGCACGAATATACCAGCATCACATGTTAAAACCGCGGTAAAATAAACGAAAGGACTTTGGAAGTCTTTTTTGTTTATTTAATTTTTTTTGTACATATCCACGAAAATGAGAAAAATACAAATAGAAGTAAACAAAGTCGCATAGTTGGGAACTCTAGATAGTATGTTTTATTAAGTTTAAAAGACTGAATGGATGGCAGGTAGCGCAGGGGAGGGGGATATTATTCCATATATAATTTCCTCGCAATGATGGAGAAAAGCACTATATATACCTCGGCGGGAACGGGGATTGCCTAACTCGTCTAATACTAACAACAACTTGGCCTTGTAACTCATACTCCTCCAGCAATCCTCTACTGCCCGGTCTCTGTAATAATGTAACAAACCGGTGGCCAAATCCAAAATTTAGTTTTTTCTTTATAAAAATTTTCCGATGGTGCGGCTACAATAAACTTGTAAAAGGGCTTAATTTCACCCCTCAATTAAAAGAATACGACAAACCCAGTAGACTCACCTTTAAGGTATGCAGTTTTTTCTGTACACGTTTCTGCAGAGCCGCAATGAGCGTTTGGTTGCGCAATACGTCGTACACTACGCGCGCCATTATTGTGTTCAGCCACGTCACCTCTGCAGGCAGCATACGACATTCACACGGTGTTGGCGGTACCTTTAGATGCTGTTGCCAAATAATAAAAATAAACCTTCTCATTATAACCTTTCGCATTTGTCCACGAGAACAAACTTTATTCGTAAATTTACAGACGACGTCAACATTTAATGTGAACGCGAAGTTGGTTTTTTTTAATTATTCATTTATTAAGTATTATATATATGGTAAATTAAACTAAATCACATTAAAACGTGAAATTTTAATTATTATTATTTTAAAGGTGACTTCATTTTCTGCACTTTTTGTCTTGCGGATTTTTCGCACGTGTGCGTATCGATTTACTCTAAGGTTTTCATTCTCCATTTTTGTTTACTTTTCGTATAAACGAAACAGCAGACGCAAATTTGTATGGCAAACCGAAAATCCTAAAGAGGCCTCATGCCAATGTCAATGTCACATAGAGATTGAGAACAGTGTGACCATTTGTGGCAGATTTCTGCCTGTTGGGCAGGTTTAATTTTTATTCATAAGATATAGCCAGGTACGCGACGCAAAATCTATATGTATAGGCGAAAGGTCGCAACTACATATTCGCTGAATAATTGAAATAATGAAAGAAACAACACTATTCCCTATATTAATTCTATAGCAAGTTTATATTTAAAAAGATCTATACTCACTACTATATATAGTTACTACGACGATGAACTCGATATAAAGTCACCTTATTATAGATATGTAACTTGTAAATTATATAACATCTCATGTATCCATATGCGTTTGTTGGTCAACGCACTTGCATTCGCAGCGGCAGCATGAGCCCCGTGTGAAGCGTGTGACCGCTGACAGGATTATTATTTTACGTATTAATTAGAACCCATTTTTCGGCCCAAGCTTACTAAGTTCCGACGAAGTCTAAATTCCTTTAATTAAAAATCTATTGTAGAAATTGAATATAAATATTATCGATATATTTTATCGTTGTTACTTCACCACTGCGGTCACCATTCATATTACAATAATAATGTCTATTGTATAAAAAAACAATACAGAATGAAAATAAAATGATCCGCGATAATAAATACTCTATGCAACAGGTTTATAGGGAAAGAACGCACCGCGTCAGCACGTTCTAGTACTGCGTTTTTACTATAAGTGGGTTTAATATAGTGTATCGTAAGGACATTTGATATTAAGTATGACCTAACCCTTACACCACCATTTCTATGTAACAATATAAACAAAAGACGAACATCTTTGGACCTCCTCTTGGCTTTACTCATCCTCCGCGGGGTGGGCTCTATTTGACAGGTCACACCGACGTCCGATTTCGTTTTACACGTCATATCATGGGTCTGTAGTAAATTATTGTTAAACGAGGACAATATACACTATAGTACTCTATCTACAATCCTAGATACAGTGTTAGCACTATAAACAGTAAGATGCGAAGCACAAGTTCAAAGATTTAATACGATATTGGATACATTCATATGGCCAACATTATATCTATGACAAGTTTAAAAGCACTCTGTATGCCATTTTTCACCCTATACAAAATATCATTGATAATAAAATACAACCTACGTTATCTATGGATTTTTTGGGTCAATGTCAAAATAACAAATAAAGATCTAACTCTTGGAAACATACCAAAAATATCACAAAATCGATATATAAAAGTTAACTGTTGTTATTGTTAATTTAACTGCCTCTGTGACCGAGTGGTTACCATGCTGGACAGCCACGCAGAGGTCCCGGGTCGACTCCCGGGCCGGGAGAAATATTTGTATGGCCTACATTTAGTTCTCAAGTGAGTTTATGAGTAATTTGTGGTCGTTAAAAGAAGAATTTTAAAAATGTTCAGATGTTTTTGTTAAGTGCGAGTGCCAAAATAATTTTGGCACTATTTAAACCAAAGTTTAAAAATTTCCAATGTGAAAAAATGTTTATACCTGAATAATTTTGAGCAAGTAAGGCCAGAAACTTTTCTCATGCGATTCGATAGTGGCCGTAATAGGTTTCGCTGATGTAGTAAGTGATAGTCCTTCTGTAGATATATCGGGTAATTTCGGGGTCTGAAACCAAGAACATGATTTGCTTAGAGGAAAATAAGGTCTTAAACAGGAAGAAAGGCGCTTATACAAGTAATTAATTATTAGTGATACAAACTATATATAAAAAATATTCAAAAAATGTTTTTGAATTTGAAATATCCTTCGATCTGAGTGGATCTTTGTGTTCTGAGTGGAAAAAAACGTTGAAAAGCTTTACACAATCAACTCGTAAATAAAACTATTCATTGCTCCATTCATTCATTCGCATGAATGAAATTCACGAGTTTTGGAAATACGAAGTAATACATGAATTTTCTATTGGTGAAACAATTGTATCACTACTATGAGTTTACAGAGACAGATGTCGCTAGCGATGGTATAAAACTTTTGTATACAAAATGTTACTTCTTCTAATGACCGTTACGGACGCTGTACAGTTTTCCATAAAAAATTGCTAAAAATTACAACCGTCACTGTAAACTCAATGAGGCAGTGATCCTAACTGATTCGATAATAATGGAACAAATTCGAAACGTTTAAATTATGATAATAATAATAATTGTATATTTCTAGAAATAAGTAAACGCTAAATAAACATTGTGTGATTATTGATACAAACATCGAAGAATACAAAGTTCTGGCTGTGACCAGTGACTGTTGCCACACCGGGGCTACCGTTCTTACCAACTGAGCTATATATCGAGACATCAGGTCCTACAAATATCTCTAAGCGTACATGGCTTTTTGCCGTAGCGCCCACTTGTGAGAAACCTATGAAGGTGTTTCCTTCACTCAGTCAGTATCAATTAAATAATATATATATTTATTTATTATTTTATTCGTGATAAAGTGAGGAATTGTCTATGTTTCATTAAACGCTCACCGTACTCTTGCCGAAAGCGACAGTCTCCTTCTCAGAAAGTTTGTAGATGGCCATTTCGATCCCCTCCTTGTGGTCGTGCGAAACGTCGGTGGAAGACTTGTCCTCTGCTGCTGACGTCTCAGGCGATGATGGAATTCGTGCTTCTTCTATAGCCGAGGATATTCTGCGGAACCTGTTAGCAAAGTTGCCATTCATGAGCGCTCGTCGTTTATTCAAGTACCATAACAAGCGGTCAAGGGGTGCCTTTTCGAACCATGCTCAATTTAGTGATGTAAAAGTCAAAGTTAAATAATCTTTATTTCATATGTAAGAAAATTACACTTCAAATCGTCATATTGATTAAACTCTACTGCTCATTCGTAAGGCAGATTCCCCTGAGAAGAATGAGCAAGAAACTCTAGGGGTCGCTCTTTGTAAATATACATTTGAATACATTTATCATTACAATATTTAAACATCTTAGATCGCGAATACCTGAAAGAGCTAAACGGGTCAGTATCACGGATTTTTGTCATCCAAGTATATTTCGCATTTACATCCAAGTTATTCAGAACACAGTTACCGAATGAAAATTACTAAACGTCCTATTGTTTACAAAGCAAGAATGTAATATGGAAATTTCTTGTTATTTTAAATAAAGTCTGGATTTAGTTCTATTTTATTAATTTATTTTAATGCAAGACTAATGCATTCCTATATTTTAAGCCTTTGAAGTCTTAAAAATGTATATAAAAAGCTTTTCATTTTCTTTTTCTTATAATGATGAATGAATAAAGAGTTCTGAATCGGGGTCGTGCACCAATTTAAAAATGTTTTTCCAAATTGGTCGTACCACGAACCGAATCCGGGATCGGACCCGAACCTTTGGGCCACCGAGGTTGTCTATTGCAATAAACAAGATGTGTAACTTACCATTCGTGTTTGTCTCGACCGGTTCGCGAAAAAAGGTACAAGATACCGTGCTTGTCCTTGGATTCTCTAATGTGTATGCTCCATTCGCCATCTGTTACATTATCCGCACCTGTTTCCAGTTCCTACGGTAAAAGATATTATAAATTACAATAATAGGAGATGAAACAATTTATTCGGGTCTAAATTTTTTTTTAAATAAGTGCGCATTTGACATCCATCTCACCTGGTGGACAGTGACGATGATCGCACATTATTTGGTTTTTCAACATACCAACGTTTCGGCCCCTTTATAAATATACAGCTCCCGTGACCATAGGACCTGTAAAGGGCCTGAAACGTTGAATTGTTTGAAAAAAAAATGCGAGATTTAGATCCGAAAAACTAGTTTTATTTGCTACGTGTAACAATCACGAAAACCTAAGAACTCGTAAATTACAATAATATTGTTTTTTTATACGTCACAGGCAGATTGACTTCATTCCATCTAAGTTAAACGAAAATTGAAATCCAAACGTGAAGGACCTTCACCCTGCATGCCTCGTTTTAAGGGCTACGATATCATAAGAAGAAGGGAAACACATGCTGAAAGGGAGTTCCAATTGTTCGTTGTGCGACAGAGAAAGGTGTCATCAATCTTTTTAGTTAGCGGTAGAACACGGCAAATTGTAAACCGTCGGACACTGAGAACAGCACGCGGGCTTCTGAGGAGGAAAGTTCCCATACTAATTACAGCTCGTTTTGCTTAGGTCGAACGGCAGGAATACTGGCTATATTTGAGAATTAATTTTTTTACAAACGAAATTTAAAAATATTTGAGAAATGTATATCATGAGTAGCATACGTGTTCTATTTAGTTCAGTTGATATTAAAAAAAAATCATTGGTATATATAAAGTACCTGTTGAATACAGCGTTTTTCTTGTAACATTTCAAGGTAAGTTTGTGTTTTTTTCTTGTATCGTGAAAATTTTTAGGAATCGTATTTCCACACCGTATAGTAATCAGTGTATATACTCAATTTTGCTAAATATTTATTCCCAAGCGATTGATTCATTCATTTCACTGCTACGCGAAATCAACCAAATCCATTTGAGGTTGTAAAGACACTTAAATAATTCTTCACAGCTCACGCCATGGTACATTCGATATAAGACGCTAAGCGATGCAACATCTTTACGTCGTTACAGAAGTTCGAGGAGAGATGAATTTATCATCAAATTACAATTATTATTATTTTAAAAATTTACTTAGTTTACTTTTTATTTCTCCACTGATATATAATTTATTCTTATTCTAAATCATATAATATCTTATTCGAACTGAAGCGAGTGGAGGAAGTGAAAGAGGCATGTCAGGAGCGTAGCGGGTAGTGCTATAGAGCTGAAGATAGAGACTCTAGATTCTCTGTTTACCAAATGCCACCTTTGGGATGGCTCTGCCATATATCAACTGGCCACTTTAGATTCAATTGACAATCGTTCCAAGAGGTTTATAGGTGATTCGAAGCTGCAAAGCCTTAAACACCGCCGTAAAGTTGCCTGCTTATCGGTATTTTACAGGATGTATCATGGAGAGCGATGGAATTACACGATTTATTTCCGCCTTCCCCTTTCCATCACCGGGGGACTAGGCGTAGGCTTGGGTTCCACCCCTATGTTGTGGACATTTCAAAGATTCGCACGAAGCGTTACGCTTCCACATTTATATGGCAAACGGCTATGGAGTGGAATTCCCTGTCTGCAGACTTGTTCCCTAAACGTTATATCTTGGGCCTTTTCAAGGCGAGGGTGAATAGGCATTATTTAGGTGTGCATGCTCCATAGTCGAAATCATCGTCACTTTCCATCAGGTGAGATGGAGGTCAAATGCGCACTTATATTTTATAAAAAAGTCACATAAAAGGCATCTTGTATGCAAATATTGAATGTGAAGAAAATTGTCACTGTAATCTCACTACACAGGTACGGAACACCCTGACCAAAGTTTACATCGAACCCAGGACCTCCTCAGCAAACACCTATATTGCTAACCACTAGGCATTTGAGGTCGCCAAATATTATTATTAAGATTTATATCTTACACTTTTCTCTGTTTCGTATTTGCTGTTCTGTCGTTTGTGTGAGAGTCGATAGATGTTCTTATAATTTATATGTAAGTGTAAAGAAAAAAAAAATTGAAAAAAAAAAAAAATTGAAAAAAAAAAGAAATACAAAAAGAATACACCAGAAAGGTTAGTAATAAGCCTTACAGTCTCTTCAAGAAACTCCTTAATCCTAGAGAGCTCTGTGTCGTCCAAGTCTTCATCATCGTTGGTACTGGTGAGTGACTTCCGATGGTCAACCTCCGTGTCTACGAATTCCGTGCTACGTGCGCAACTCGGATCCGGGAATGCAGAATGACTTTCTTGTGGCTCGGTGCTTGTTGATACGTTGTCTGTTTTCTTATCTGAAAATTATTTTTTCACCCGCCGTTTTTTTATGTGAAATAAAACCACAATGTTACCTGTGCCAGAGAAAAAAAAACTCCAATTCGAGTATGGCAAGGCATAAAAAGTAATGTTAATTATTTGAATGTCTATTTAAGGCATAACTGGTATTTTTCAATAAATAGAGCAATATTTTCCTTACAATATTATAATAACAAAAAATCAGCTTTAAAGTTATTAATATGTTAAAAGGAAGTTTTGAGTATTTTTAATCACTGACCTAAAGACGGTAACGGTACAACGGTTTTGTGCGTGCAGGATGAGGAAGTCTAGAAGAAGATTCCCAGTAGGACCAAATTTGGAAATAAACTTTTTTGCCGTCCGCTAAAACGGGGCGAAGTGACAAAATATTTTTTTGAGATATCATAAAAAACCATAACTCAGTTTTAGAATATTGAAATTGTTTAGTGATATTTCAGCTACGCATCGTTAGGGTAAGTTCCGATAATAACTGTTTATAAAAGAGTATTTTGTACTCTATTTTTTGCTATTTAAAACGGTTATTTGACCATTTGTCACTTAGCCGCATTTTAGTTAGTGGACGGCAGTTTTCTAAATTTGGTTCTGGCCTGGTTGTTTCGAAAAGTACCCCAGAGGGAATTTCGTTGCCCTGGTACACATAGTATAGGGAATTCCCTTCTTTTGAGACCAGGCAATTGGTAAAATTATCTGGCACATTATTATTATTATAAATCACAATCCCAATCTTTCATGTAGCTATAAAAATTAATTTCTCTTAATTTTTTACATACCTCTATGCATTTTTCTAACTATTCTATGCCTAAGGCCTTCTTTTCCTACTTCTCCTTCGGAATGTGAGATACTGAAACAAAAGTGTTACTGAAATAACAAGGAAGTTGTATATATTTTAATTTTTTATTGAATTGATATTAAATTTTTTTTGTGAAATTATTCCACTAGTTTGTTATAATTATTAATACAAAGATCGATCACTCAGAAAAAATTCCTTCGATCCTGTGGCTTAGTTGGTGTAGCGTCTGCCACGGTAAGCTAGAAGACGTTGGTTCGAATCCGGCCGGATCGAAGGAATTTTTTCTGAGTGTTCGATCGTTGTATTAATAATTATAACAAGTTATATATATGTTATTATAATAAACTAGTCATATTAGTAATTATGATATACATTAATTATTGTTGTACCAACCTTCCTTCCTTTTCCAAAGCACCTCTTTTATCTCTTCTTCTCCATACAAACTTCCTCTTTTTCTCTGGACTGGTATTAGTTTCAGTGCTCTCGACATCGTGAGAAGATTCTGCCTGCTTCTTCTTTTCGTCTGATCGATTTAAGTCGCTTTTTCTCTCTGAAGGCGCAGTCTCTTTTTCCAACACCTGGATCTTTTCATTCTCGTTTAAAATTATGCAAATAGGGTACTTTTTACTCCAGTGCCTGAAACGTTAGGACAAAAATGCATATCAAATAATATTGTTTTTTAGCATTTATCAGCAGTAGAACTCTGTGTGAAAGAGTTCGACCAGGAAAGCACTGCCAACCAACCTATTTCTGTAGTAATGTGAGCATTACCGCGTTCGGGATCTGAAGTGTAGGGATGCTGGTGAAATTATTCCATATTATCCATATTATATTACAAAGGCACACGGGATATTGGACTTTTCAACTTTGTTTCCGGGCGACGGGTGCAGTGTCTGTGTATCAGAGGTCTTTGCAATTTAAAGCTCTGAGTGGCACTTCAACTGTTCGTCCTGTTACATTTATCATAAAAAAATACAGTCAAGAGCACGTCAAGCTTGACACTTTGTACTTTGGACCGTTCTTATCGCAAGCGGCATAGAGTTGGATTTTAGTCTTAAGTGTCAAGCTTGACGTGCATTTGACGCTGTACCTTCCAGATCTTTCAAATGATGGGTGTAACGTTAACAAACAAGGGAATGAAAAACATATTTGATGTGATGTGTTTTTTTCAGTTGCGCACTGATAGGCAGTGGGCGACTAATTTTCATAAGACCGATCTCTCTGTCTCTTTTCAATATTTGAGGTCTTCAAAAAATTTTGTATACACATTGAGCTTCTCATGCCAAACGGCATAGAGTATAAATCTCTAGACTCTGTATGTTCTTCGAATTTATGTGATAGACAAAGTTTATTTTCGTGAGGCAGAACTGCAGTACCAATTATTTGAGATCTGCATATCGTCGGCTAAATTGCTAAATTATTAAAACCTGGTAACCTCCATTAATGTGAACTTTTTAATAGGCACAAAAAACAGACTTACTAGAAATAATTATAAGACATTCTACGATTATAACTTTATATTATAATGAAAAAATAATCTACAATTAGCTTTAACTGTCCGATATTGCGCTTTAAAAGAAAAAAAGGGATGTCATGTTACGAGGTTTTCAAATTTAGCCGACGATATCGTAGTTTAAGAGTGAAAGTCTCGCAAATTCCTCTCATGATCGTTTTAGCCGAAAAACGTCCACTGCAAGAACATAGGGTTCCTAAAGGATCGCCTTAGCAATAGCCGAGCGCTGATCTTGCGTTGCTTGCACCTAGCAGATTTCAGCAACCTTTACCTGGTCACCTGGTTCCACCTTGTGGGTAAATGTAAGTCCAATATTTATGTAAGTTTTTTACGTGTTTTTGAAGTGTTAGCGGCGGACCCTTAGAGGGGAAACGTAACGTAACAGTGAATGAAAACTGCATGTCGAAGACGGTTCTCAACCCTTGGAAAACTTGTCTCCAATCCGCGTTGAGAGTGTAACAGTTTAACGATGACTATGATGACGTTATTTGGAAAACTATATCTTGCACCTCGTGCAATAGCGTTCTGTAGGGTGCTGGTGAAATTACAGGCACATGGGACTTGTCAACTTATGTCTCAGGGTGACGGGCGCAGTGGTAGTGCCCCTCAGATCTTTGCAATTTAAAGCTCTGATTGGTACTGTAACTGTCATGGACAGACGTGTAGCTTACCATTAGGCGCACGACTTATTCGTCCCTTCACTTAATGTTATTAAAAGAGAGTCATTTTCACTTTTACTACATGGACATGAAGCATTTTCTAAACATTACGTGTCGATAAGTAGTGTGATGATATTGAGGCGCCATATACAGAGGATTCCTGGTTTCAATCGATCCTCACGATAATCGCATCCATCCTTTGCTTCTTTGGCGTTTAAGATAATCGTACACTATTACATGTACATAAACGTACACTATCGATTCGCTGTTTCGATCAGGTTCGGGCCGTGCAGCAAATCATTCCTATTATATAGCCCGTAAGCACGTAACCACCAACACATACATACATAAGTTATAATTATAAATAATGGTTTAGACTCCGAGTAACGATTGATTAGATACGAACATATTAAACTTGATAAGTTCCAGAGATAACCGTGTACTGTGTAAATACGTTATTGATTTTTATTCACAAGCATGAGTAATGTTGTAGGCAGTTCAAAGATTATTGATAGGTATTTTGTCACCACTTTAACTTATAATTTGACAAATTCAAATGACCCTATTGAGTGGGCAAAATGACCCAGTGAGTGGGCAAAATGATCCGGTGTGGCAATAGACGTTGTTTCTTCCGAGTCCAGACAGATTGAAGAAATTTCTCTTTGTGTTGTTCGATCTTTGTATCAATAATAATAACTACTTCAAATGAGTTCGATAAACGCCTAAGCTTCGAGTTATCATTTACTGAGTACAGAATAAAGAAAGGCTTGACATTGCCATATCTTCAAGGGATTCCCGATTTCAATGATATGCCAATTTTGTATCTGCTGTGGCACTGTTGTGAGAATTTTGGTTGGTTTTGTGGTCAAACTAATTAAAACAACATTTGGATATATGTTTTTTTCACTATAACCCAAATTCTTCCGTGGTTGATATAGAATACTATTATCATTATTGTTTTAATAAAATGCGGTTTTGATGACAATATCGAAGATGTGACTAAATTAAAGAAAAATCAAAATAAACCAGATTCCCTATATCATTCTCAACGCTAAATATAACTGTGTTAAGTTGTTTATCAAATAACTTATCTATTTATTTTTGAACACTGTTGATACAAAAATCTAATTATTTTGAAAGTAACATTTTGTGGGTTGGTTCTGGAGGGTATACTCTCGTTCTCCGCTCAACATTTGTCCGAAACAATTACTGTGAAATAATTAATACACGACCAAATAAAAAAACAGCGTCAAGTATGAAGCTTCATTCGCATCATACGTTTTTTAATTTGGCCGAGTATTACTTATTTGACAGTATAATTGTTTCGGATAGAGAACGAGAGTACAGGGTCTGATTTGCATAACTATGTCCAATTTTCGTAGAAAAATCTACTAAAATGTCGTTTACGGCCTAAGTACCAACATTATTGCGTGATGGGAAGTCCCTCGTATAATATAGGCAAAAAATAGTCCAGACTGGCAATGACTCACAATAAATTCTACTAGCTTTAAGTACTGGTACTCGTGCAAAAAAAGTTTAATATGAAAAACTACTACATTACAGCGTACATATTTGAAATAAAGGGCAAATACGCTTTAATTCAAATAGTTACTTGTGACGACTACAGATATTAACCTTGGTATAATAATGATGCTCGATGAAGTATACATACATATAAAGAGAAATGACATTGAAAGTTTAAGTTTATTAAAAATTATCTTCTGATAAACTTTTGTAAAACTTTAGTTATTCCAGTTCTCTGGAATAACCAAAGTTTATTATATGAACTAATTACTGGGTGAAAAAAAATGTAACATGAAGGAGAACTAACTTAAATAATTAAGAAACATTATTACATTGTTCTTAATATGAATAACTGTATTCACAGATTATTTGACAAGTATAACTAATTCTGGAATTTAATCAACTAAAAATGCAAAAAATAAACACACTATTTTACTGCACTAAGGTAAGGATACACTTCTCTTCAATAAACATTGGGTCTTTTCCACCCCAATTTTAAATTTTTCTTAATTTTTTAATCATTCTGAGGTTTCAGAGGGAAGTATTGCCTATTCCGTTCTCTGCGCATTAGTAATATAGTCAAAGTCGTGCAATTGTGACTAAAACGAGTTATTTACATTCCAAAATACAAAACATGACATTGTGAACCGAATTAAGAAAATAACTTGTTTTTGTCTAAGTTGTAACTTACTTCCATTCGTATTCGTACCTATTAAACGGGGCAAAATGGCTGTCATTAGTTCGTAACGAGTAATGAAAAAATTGTATTTTAACGACCCCCATGCGACAGGCAAAATTCTGCATAAGCCCTGTGACAGCCTACGCTATGGGGATGCCGTAGTCGTTCCGTATCAACAAATGAAAACGAACAATTACTTTGTCATACTTTAGCAAAGTTGAAACACTAGTAGCAAAAATGTATCCATTGTTCTCCGTAACGAATGATTTGAGAATTGATCGGGTCGTTAACTTAATATTGCTAGCTGCTACACACTCGCCCCCAAGGTCGTACTTTGTTAGTCTCATCTGTAGCTTTATTTATTTGTACAGGTTTAACTGTTGACCTTTATTGCTTAATGATTTAAGAAACTGTCATAGGGATAGGAGACTTTACGATTTTAAGTTCCATGGTTGAAAACATATTTATTTGCTGTGTTAATTAGTTTATATGTGGCAGACCTTTCGTTGCCATTTAACAACTCTAACATGGAGCGTTTGTCAGTTTGAACAGTCAGTATTTTTGTATGTCACTTGCTTATTTCATAAGCGTGGACATTATGAATAATGGCCAGTCTGTCTTAAAAACGCTGGCATGAAATGGACAATGTAATAAAAATGTCATGATTAAACACTTTTTCCGGTCAGTGTAAATAATGACCACCCTTGTCTTGGTCAAAGTAATAAAACGAATGCTCTGTAGGGCTTTGGTTACGTCAGGGTTTAGCCTAATCTAACTAAATGCATTCATACTATTACATCTTATACTCGGTCGAAATGACAAATTCAGGCCATCTTAAACCTCGATGTAGCAAATGCCCATCGCGAGCTGTCGGACATTATATAATACGGACCGGCGAAAGTAATAAATTCATCAGTTTGGCCTATGCTCTTTGACATAATGACTATTCCGTATTAATAATGCCCGAAAAATTAAATTGCCCGTAACTTATACATAATATATACTAACATGGTTTCGCTAAAAGCATTATTCATTAGCGCAATAAATAATAAAATGTCAAGGCCACTTTTTATATACGCATGTATGAACAATTACTAATTACGCGTGGTGGACGTTATATCGATAGCAATTTCGCACACACAGATAAGCTGAAAAAGTAATAAGAGTTTTACTAATTGCACACTAGACTAATTGAACACAATATTCTGTATTTTGTGATGTCTTCTAATATCGTCCAATCTGAGCAAAGTTTGGCAATTGGCTTTTTCTTATTGTTTTCTACACCTCTATATAACATTATTCGTTAGTTTTTTGAAATGAATTTTATTATCATTTTAATGAACTAAAAAAAGCAGTTGCACGTCAATTCTATATGTTATATCGATTCTATCATTCAAAAAATATCTGCACAAATTTTTCTAAAGATCCCTAAGGTTTAGTTGTTATCAGATCTTTTATATTTTAGTTTTAAAAATAAGTCTACAAATATCGACCATCACGATTGGTTGTCCTCTAGGCGGAAAGTCACGACTCTGATTTCAAACAGAAGTTTTTGCACATTTGTGTTAGTGTTTAGTACTAATGTATTAATGTGGTATGAGCAATCTCAGGGTACCTTTACAGCAATGTAAAATGCTCTCTAGCACTTTACACCAAAATCGTAAATCGTCTCTAACAAAAAAAACTCGTTATCCTATGTCTGCTTTTTCAAGGCAGGCGATAATAGGCAACACGCCGCTGCGCTTGCGTCACACAAAGCTTTGCGAAAATGCATTCTATATCAGAACACGCAGTGCACATGTGGCACATTTCAATACAAATATTCAAAGGAGCACAGTTTATCAACCATTTGCGCCAATTCGGTAAAATAAACTACACTACAGTGTACGCGATGACAAATTATGAAAACATTCAAACGTCGAAACCGCTAGATTGGTTTACTTCAGCTACTTTCACAGTTTAATGACATACGGCATTTTGCTTTGGGGTAATGCCGCCGACATTAATATAATCTTTATCCTGCAGAAACGTGCGGTTAGGGCAATTTACAATATAGGACCCAGAGTGTCTTTGAGAGATAAGTTTAAAGAGATTAACATCCTTGCACTAGGGTCACAGTACATTTATGAAAATGTAATTTATGTTCAGAAGAATAGTAATTTTTTTCATGAAAAATCGTTACAGATAGTAATATTTTAACAGACGTCTTCATAAAGTGGGAAATTCATTTAAAGGGCAATGTATTCGCTTCTATAACATGATTCCGGTTGATATTCAAAATTTGCCATTTACAAAGAGCAACTCCTAAAGTTTCTTGCTCATTCTTCTCAGGGGAATCTGCCTTACGAATGAGCAGTAGAGTTTAATCAATATGACGATTTGTAAGTGCATTTGCTTACCTATGAAATAAAGATGATTTTAATTTGAGTTTGACGATTGTCCGTACTACAACTACCAAACCACTTTGAAGACAACGAATTGACTTAGACGAAGATATTTTAGACTGGGCCATTACTTGAGATGAAAAATGTATTCTTTACCATCAAATCAGTGGTTAAACACTTGCGACAAGCTCAAAGAGTGTTAAAAAAAGTTTATCCATACAAAAATGTTTGTTTGGAAGTAATCCCCTTAGATTATATTCCCCTGAGATTTTGTACAACCATGATAGTTGGCTGATTACTATTGGGAAGAAAAGCGAATGACGATGAAGAATAACTACGGCTAGTCAATCGATCATCACCACTACGGTCAAATCATCTCCACCATACAGAAATAGGTTAAAGCTTTTCGTCATTCTCCAAACTCACCTAATTTGGTCCCTATTGACTACCATTTTTTCTACCTGTAAGGATATTCGATAATGAGTTCCAAAACTTCAAGGATTCCCGATCATCACCGCAAAGGAATAAAGAGTAGTGCATATTTTTAAAATTCAACGTTTTCCAGAATCTAAAATAGAATTCGTTTTTTTTTCTCAAAAAAAAAAAATATACGTTTTAAACTCTTTACAGGGTCACGGTTCACTTAATAATTTGATTTAATAAATTTTATTTTATAAAACATTCGTTTAATTTCAATTCTCCTATATAACGGCAATTTCCTAATTTAACCCCAGTTAATTTTAGAATAACACAAGACACGAATCTGCGAACGCTTTTGTATAAAACAAAACCGTGACATACCTTTACTCATCTTGTGTATATGTGGCGAAATAGGTCAATTATTAATAACGCCGGGACACATAGGATACGTATTTGAGTTATTATCTGTCTCTCGTAACTGGATACTATTAATATAATGATTGCTTTCTGCAATTACGTGAGAATTGTTCCATATTTCGTAATTTACAGAACTTGAGTTAGTTATATTTTACATTTTGGCAAAATTATTTTATATATTTACAATTCTGTCGATTCCGAGTAAATCGCATTAAATTTGTTTATTTTTGGTACGTGACTTGACCTTTTTGAATGTCATTATCAAACTGATTGATATATGGACGAGTGGAGGAAGCGAAAGACAGGAATACAGCGGATCTCCACTCATCCATAGTCTCTCTCTACCGTAGTGGTAGCAAGGTATAATGGTATATACTCGTATATACAATTATGTATATATTTTTTCATTTATATTTTTGTTATTTATTCCCGATAGGCCAAGAGCCTACATAAAATAAACTAAATTTACAATTGTTTGGCGACCTTCCTCGGTGGCCCTCGGGTTTGCACAGTGGGCTTTGCATGAAGACTCGGGTTCGATTTTCGGTAGGTTTTAAATAGAAACCACCGTGAGACTCAGGCATATTAACTAAAGTAACCAACAACTCACGTGTTTAAGTTGAATTTTTGCTCGACAAGTTTCGAACCAGTCCTTGGTCCTTAATTTAAAAAACTTGTCTAACTTTGTTCTGATCTGGTTGTTCTGAGTGGTAAGCAATGCAGTTGCTTAGGTGCGCACTGTACAGGCATTTGTTTTTTTAAATAATACTAAGTAACGGGACGAATAAATCGAGCGCCTAATGGCAGGCGATACGTCTGTCTATAACAGTTGCAGTGCTACTCAGAGCTTTAAATCACAAAGATCTGAGGGGCACTGCCACTGCGCCCGACACCCAGAGACTAAAATTTCCTAGTTTGAGTCCTGGTAATTGGTGTGGTTGTCTAGGTGTTTCAAATCTAGAAATACATGTATATAGACATACAACACACACAAGGAGTGACCTAGAGTTGTTAAAACCACCAAATATTAATTAATAACTTTTCGAATTACGAATTTCCGGAAATGGTTATATACCCATTCGTAATAACGTATATATGTATGTGGAACACCTTTTTCCAACCATCGGTGATGATAAAGGAATGTGCGCTGAATTATTATTATTAATTATAGAAATTATTCATACCGTCTCTTCACTAGTCCTTTGGGTAATAAAATGATTCGGGCCCCAGTGAGGTTGTACAGTCTATGTTGATAAAAGTCCACGTTTTCTATCTTCTCGTCCCACAGGGCTCGCTTTCGTATTTTGGTCTTTGTATACGATATTCTAAGGTTGCAACCTGTAACAAGAATACGTACAGTATAACGGTTTTCTTAGTATCTACCGGGAATCTTCGTGTTTCGGCTGTTTTCGGATTTGTTTGAAGGTCAGATAGTAATATTATATTGAAAATTAGTTATACGTGTAAACTATTACCATAGTATAAATAAGACAATTATGGTAACTCCATTCATACACAACAACGCGGCTTACGTGTGTGCACGCCCGCCGCGTGGCATGTACAGACGCACACATTCGCATTATAATGAAGTGCATTATAACGGGAGTTCATTATCAGGGACAGTAAAAAAAAACAAAATTCGGGGTATTAAAGCACTCAGCCTTTAGCGTCGGGCTTCTAATAGACCTTCGTTAGTAATTTCTTATTTACCGCTCTTAATACACAACGTATAGTATATACATAACAAAACAACTTTGTGAAAATCATCTGTAATAATCAGTATAGTTCACATGGAAATCAAAACAAAAGAACAAGACAGTCCGTAGTTCTGAATTCAAATTATAAATCTAATCTGTCCTGTCTTGTCATAAACGACTCATTTGTATTTTGATAACTTTCGTCTTATTGGCACCCAAAAATATTTTTTTTCTTTGAAAAATGTGATTACGCTGATTTTGTTTAACAATAAAACTGAAATTAAATAAGATATTATAAAAACCGCCTAAAGGTAGTTGTAGATCTCGTTACGCTGATTCCAGATAGGGAAATAACTCACTTTCACTAAAAATGTCGATTACGTTGTTCATGTTAAGGACGACAGTAATAATGACTTTATGGAAATTTGTATTCGGGTGCATTCAGAAAGCCGAAGATTTCCGAGAGGTATTAAGAAAATAGCCACTGCAGATTCCAAGAATAAAGATGTCTAAGGGACCAGACACATCTAAGCAGGATGTGACATTATGACGCCTAAATTCATCACATTCCATCACCAAACCCGCGTGAACATGACTATTTTACTTATGATATAAGTACCTTTTACGATATGTTAATCAATTACCTTCAAGTTTCATAAAAGCTGTCAATGTTTTGTTTACGTGGTACGAGTACGGATCATAATCTGGGTACCTATAATGGTTTATCCAACCCTGAAACAATTTACCATAATTTAGTTGCATGTTTTAGCATCCTTTTTAGTAATTGTCAACATACAATTTAGTTCAATTCATGATTATTTTTAAATTTATTTCAATGACCTTGGAGTAAAGTCAGAGTCAAAATATTACAGATAATAAATTAAAATAAAAAAAAGTAACACAATACATTAGAAATGAAACTATTTTTTTCGGATCTACATCGCGTGCATTTTTTTTGTTAACAAACTAACGATTCGGGCGTCTACAGGTCCCTTAGTTACAGTTGAGTCAGCCACACACGGGCACTCAGCCGTGACCATGGGATTTCCAAACTCTAGCGATCGTAAAAATCTAAGAACTAGATAAAATAAAACAGTAATAGTATAGAAGTAGATGTAGAATATATCTTTTTTCCATGGTATGTACGATGAATTTAAATACAGTACAGATGCGACGTGGTATTTCATATTCTATGTTGCGCCATGAATTTAATTTTCGTCTGTAAGTTACATTAATTAGAGTAGTTGTAAGGGACGACTTGAGGCATTTTAAAAGATTGCAAAAGTAATTAGCTTTTTAGCATGTGCGAATTTAGTAAGCAATAAATACGAAAAGTCTAGGCTATTATACACATAATTTGGTTTTGTAGCTTTATTTATGTTTGTACTTAAGCTAAACTTAATATAAAAAGAAGTAAAACCGCTATGCATTTCCAAACGGTATGCTGTAATGGGCTGGTGTCCTCAACTCATGTGGGCGCCTATTTCGCGTGTGGTAAAATTTGAATTAAAATAATTTTGAATTTACTCACTTAAGAGCATATATACATACCTCGATCTTTTTAATGGGTTTGTGTTCCTTTATAGACGGAATGGTATAAGTCATAGGCATAGCACTACTGCGCTTTAGTTGGAAGAAGTTGTCCTTCTTCAGCTCCCAATCACAAAAGTAATTATCCAACAACCACTGCTTGAAGTTGCTTGCAAAGTAAAAGCACCAAATGCCAAGAAGGAAGCCATTCCAAATGTTGGATTCGGGGAATAAAAAATAGCTAATGAATATTAGAAACGTTAGGATGTACAAAGTAAAGTTAAAGAGCAAAGTTTTTTGAGATGTTGAAGTATCAACAGTTGGTGTGTTTTTTTTACTAGGAGGAGTGCCAAAGTTCATGGGAGTCGGTATGACAGGTGGCATTGTTTCAGAGGGATATAAATCCACAGGTTTGTTGTATGGACATTCGGGCTGTAATGGCGGGACCTCGCAGAAACCATCTATGCCGTCTTCTAACGCTTCAATTCCGGATTCTACTTCCATCATATTGGAGTCCTTTAGTACGTCTCTGGAAAGATCTGCTGCTTCACTTTGTACTAGAAAAAATATTTTACTTTTGTTATACAGTCTAGCAATAGTCTTTTGTAAAAATATTTTGCCTAATAACACGTTAAACTCAAATGTATTTGGTATATAATAAACAATTGTCTTGTATATGTATATATAAAAATCCTAAAATCATTACCTGTGCATAGGAAATGAAACTTTTTCGGATCTAAATTCGCGTATATTTGTTTTTCATATAAACCAATGTTTCGGGCCCTTCACACGGCCTTTTAGCCTTTACGGCCTGACTGTCAGCTGTGATCATGGGACCTGAAAGAGTCCGAAACGTTGGTTTGTTTGAAAAAATGATTTAGATCTGAAAAAAAAAACTATTTCATTTCCTATGTGTAACAATTGCGAAAACCTAAGAACTCGACACTACCTTTGCTTCAAGGAAAAAAAAATTTAATAAATAAAAACAACTGGAAATAAAATCACCTTGTCGAAGTTAGTTGATTAGCAATGATAATCAAAGCTGATAAGTAGACGTACTGTTAAGTACACATTTTACAGCTATCGGATAATTAATATTCGCTCATAGATAAATGTCAATACTTACTTAATTAATTTGCCAAATAATAAATCACTGCCTATTTTAACATGTAAGGCAGGCTTAACCACTTGCAGGAGACTCGTGTCTTGCAGTGGAAACAGAATGGGTAAAGGAGTGATTTAAAGTAAAATCAAATTTCTGAATTCAAGAATAGTGGCCCAATCCAAAACAGTTCCTTTTTTTATTTACTACTTAGATATGTTTAGTAAATTCTAAATTTTATTGTGAATGACACACCAAGCTTTCCATAATCATATAACAGTCTATCTTTCACGGGAGACACGACTCAGTTTTTTGAAACCATATTCCTGCTGAATTAGATGTTCTTGAGGTAGGCTACTATTCCAGAAAGCCATTGATTTGTATATATAAAAAGCCGCGAGATATGAAACTGTCTCTAAATCTTCAGTTCCCCTTATCCTTTTTTTTTTTTAAAAACATTGCACAAAAGCACTGAGAACAAATTCAATAGTCTAGTTCGCCACGGATTTTATTCCTAATAAATATTTAAATTGGTAGAACAGATGTTCCATTGACTATATGTATATAACTTACCAATATTCCTATGTGTGTCATCACTGCTTTCCGAATTGTTTTTAGATTCCAGTGGAAAACTAACTTCTTTCTCAGCAGCTTTAGCTGTTACAAGGTTCGTAAGTTCTGATAAATTTTGCATACTGCTCTCCAATGATGACACCTAAAAGTGTTATTAAAGATAAATAAAGTCACGAGAAAATTTTACCACCCCATAAGTCATAACTGCCTCCGTGGCCGAACGGTTATCGTACCGACTGCCACGAAGAGGTCCCAGGTTCGATTCCCGAGCCGGGAGAAATATGTGTATGGCCTACATTTCTTTCTCTCGTGAGTTTGGTTGTAATTTGTGGTTGTCTATGTGTGTGTCCATGGCACCCGCGAAACAGGGTTACCCTAGTGCGGGGCTATGTTGAGTGTGTGCGTTATTATTTAAAATAAACATACATTATATTATATCTAGGCGTAGCATAATATAATGCGTTTTGAATAAACGAAACGCCTGACAACTTTATCCGACGATATAGCTGCGCAACACGAAATTTTTGCAAAATGCCTGATTGTTTTGCTGAGGAGCTAAGCTGCCCATCGCAAAGTTCCTTTGCTGTAGTAAAAGACGGCACACTGACAACTGCCTACTGTGAAAAAACGACCGTACTTCGTGTCGTTTTAATTAAGCGAATTTAAAAGGCAGAGCAACTCGATTGCGATTGAGTTAATTACGAGAGTTAAATTAATTAGTTATGCGCAGGTGCAAGTAAGGAAGGTAGATTACCTAGACTAGGTAGCAGAGTGCAAGTGGCATCATTGTTTTAAGATACTAAACTAATATCCCATGTATAACATACTATAATTGCTTTTGTAGAAAATAATAATGGAGGGCGAATTCATGCGCAGTTTCATGTTCCTTTTTGGCAATAATCATTTGTCATTGTCTGTGTTTTTGTTAGGTCTTTTTGAAGTTAACAGTGGCTCGTTCATTATAGCATCAATTCATAAAGACTAGCACAACCGGCTTTTGAAATTTTCTATGACATGGGTCTAACCTGGCTTTTCTCTTGAGGATATCCACCCTTCATCACTGGTACACAGTCCATGTTTATTAATACATTAATATGTCTGTTACTAGTCACTATTATTATGTCACAGAATTGTACTAATACATTAAACTAATTGAGTAATGACATTTACATATAAAACTAGTTCTCAAATTATATGTACATTAAAAAAAAGGGAAAGTGCCCCGAAATAGTAAAAAAATATTATGTTTTTATTCAATCATACAAAACTAAATAGGGCAATTTTAAAGAAAAGCATTTGTTTTTGTCATTTAAAAAGTGAAAAGTATAATCTTATTATTTCATTAATTATTTCAAATTTTTCATTTTGTCTGTCCAATTTATTATAGTGTTTTGTTAAATGGGACAGCGTGAGGAAACCCGAAACCATAACAGGTACAAGGAAACTGTCTTAGGAACCATTAAGACTTTTTTGTGAAAATCATTTTGGCATAGTCAATTTTTTGGTCAAGCGTGAGTTGTCCATAAAAACGAATATAATTGATCAAATTTTTTTAAGCTTTAAGGATTCATTTCATTGTATTTAAGAAACTGCAGAAGTTGTATGTAAGAAACTGCATCTATTAGCATTAAAAAAAAGTAGCCAATTTTATTAATTTTGTATGATAAACATTTTATGAATTTGACCAACCCTCTGTCCCAATTGTTTGGCATCCAATACAATGAAATGATCCTTACATAAAACTGAGTCGATCAGCACCATAAAAAATTTAGATCAGTTTTATTAATTTTTATGGTCAACTCACGCTTGGCCAAAAAATTGACTATGTCAAATTTGTTTTCATGAAAAAAGACTTTATGGTTCCCAAGACAGTTTCCTTGTATCTTCGATGGTTTGAGATTTCCCCATACTGTCCCGTTTAAAAAAAGAAAACACTGTATACCTTAACATTTTAGCAATGACCTACCAATAAATGAACATCGGGTTCGCGCTAAAAAGTGTCCGCAACCTATAGGGCGTTAAAATCACATACAGAGTGTGTTCGACTTACAGCGCGGTTTTCAATCATGCAGTACCATATAATAATAACTTGTAAAAATCACTGCAGTAAAGTGTAAAAATAGGATTTTGTATCATATTTTCACTAAATAAATATATTGTGTTATCATAGTTCTCATTTAAAAGGGTTATTTTTTACAGTTTTTTAGTATTTAATTAATATATAAATGAATCGTAAATATAAATTACAAAAGCACACAAAATAATCAAATAGCTAACTGTCCTTTTTCTACACACTGCATGCGTAAAAGACGGAAAGAGACCCATTACGTCAATTTCAAGAAGCTTTTATAAACTTCTTGGGTCATTTTCAATTGTTCAAACCACAAACGATTGAAATATTTAGGACAAAGAAACTATAGAGTTGATTTTAACGATTTTTTTAATTAAACGTTAGTAATAACTAACAAAATATTGTTGTACTCGTTTTACGGCTTGGGATTGCCTATCAGAAGTCAGAATATACATTTGCCCGAAATGAATTTTCATAATGTCAAATATATTTTTTTAGGAAGATTACAAAACAAAAGCTGATTTTGTCTTTGTGAAAAGCATCAATTACTCGAAAGCGTAACAGTTTTATTATAAATCGGTTTTCGAAATTACGGATATTTGAGTTTACGTTTAGTTGGAATATCGGTACATTTCTTATAGTACACGCTTATTTTCACATTTTAGTAATATTTGTATGTATGTCTCTGCCCAACTCTTTATTATTTCTTTAAGTGAATTTGTACAAAATTCGACATAATAATATATACAAATATTAATTAATATTTACGATAAAGGCTACTCCATTACTCTTGTGTTCAAGTAATTTTCAGTCGAAGCGAAATATGGTGCATTTTGTTAAATTTCCAGTAGAAGCTGAATATGGTGTTTTTGGGCCCTTAAATTGTTGCAAGCAAAATTAGGCAGTACTGCAATGATGTTACAATTTAAAGGTTTTACTTTTTATATTTCGTTTGTATAGCTTAACTTCAGACATTTTTTTCGTGGTTTTTTAATTAGACCCGACGTCCATTTGTTGGTAGGTCAATGGATTTCAGGTAAAATTTTCCAAATAGTTCTAAATATAGGAGTAATGTTATATAAGATGCTGTTAATACGATGAATTTATTCAATTGAGTGAATTTTAAAACTTCTTTTAGTATTAATTTTATCATGTGGTGTAATGAAATATCACTTACCTGATTTTCTGTATCCCCAATGCTGAGATCTAAGTCTTTTATTGCTGAACTTTCTTCAGAGTCTGATATAGAACTATCTCTAAGAACACCTTTCTCTTTTGATTCTGTTAAAGAAAAAAATTAGGTATTTATAAGAGTTATAATTTAAGTATTTTCAGACTTTTATTCTTTTTAATATATCAAGTGACGGGACTAACAAGTGCGCCTGATGGTAAGATACACTCCTGCCCAGAACAATTGCAGTGCCACTGAGAGCTTTAAATCACAAAGATCTGAGGCGCACTGCCACTGCGCCAGTCACTCTGAGACATAAGTTGACAAGTCCCATGTGCCCAAAACTGGAATACAGTAATGGTAACATTACTGCTTGGTGGCAGAAATAGGTAAGGTGGCAGTACTTCCCTAGATGAACTCTTTTAAAAGGAAAGAAAGTTCTACTGCTACTAAAGTCTTAAGCCTTTATAAAGCAAGTAGCATGAACTTAATGATGTGTAATTCTGCTGCTAAAGGAGCTTGACTGCTACAATATTTAATAATACAATGATATTATAAAAAGAAAAAATAACATACAAAATTTAATAGTTTGATTTAAAGTTCCTATACAATAAGCCTATAAGAAAATCTCCAAAAAAGTATCATGAATATTAATAATTAAAAAAAAAACAAAGTTTACCTTCAAGAGATTTTGTCTTCATGTCCTCAACTGCTTGAGCAATTTTGAACTTAAAATCGTGAAATATCTTCCAAGTTTCATTCACTTCCTTCACGTCGGCCGATTCTGATGTACTTCTCTTGCCAAGACGGTTCAAATAGTCCTTCATGGGAGATGATGACACCTCTTTAGGGGGAGTGCGGTTTTCTTCAGCAGGTTTGGAGTCTTTGGTCTCTGATGGCTTGTCCTCAAACTTTTCAGCTCTAATAGATTTGAAATATTTGTCTAAAATTGATGGGGTCTTGTCTCCTCTCTTCGGGCTGGCATTCTCGCTTTGCACGACAGGCGACCCATCAAATTGTGGTGTGGGAGGGTCATCTTCACAAGCTTCAAATAGTTCTTCCAGCTCTTCATTGTTAGCATTATATCTAAAGGAAAACGATGTCGACGCGCCTGGTGTTTTAGCTGAAATGGAATGAATCTTAAATATACGCTGGAGCTAGCAGTGTTAGTTTTTTCTGTGATTGTGATGACTTACGCATGACAAACTAGTGCAATATAATCATTAATCAAATAACTGCCGAAAAAGTGACGAAACATAAAGCACATTGTTAATGCGCGTGCAGTTACAATGAGACTGCTAATAGCGAGTGTCAATGTTATCGTCTTTGTTTTCCAAGATACTAAAAAGCAATCAAACAGCTGGTGATAACATAGTTCCCTATTATTAAACCAGTCGATCTTTTTCAAACGAGTAAACAACATTTTCTTGGTACTAAATTTAAAACAAAGTAATACAAAAAAACATTGTGAAATAACATTCCAAAATTTGGTAGACGTGCATACCAGGAGGAGTGCCGGAGACTTCCATAGTTTCACAAATACGACACAAACTAGAAAACAATAAAGATGAGAACAAACATAGTGCACAAATACAACTCTACGCTCTAATCAAAATCATTGAAATACAGAATGTGGAATTTCTTTATTCAATTTTTTGGACCCTAGCAAAAAATACTTTTCAACGTTTCACGACGTGACTACACTAGCTGTCATTCTGCGCTGTCAACACAAACTGTCAATCACTGACACCATTTACACGTTCTTCTTTGTTTATGATTCACATCCATTAGAGGTAAAAAGCTTGATATCGATTAAATAAACTCGATAATGTAACAACAACCGATATCGCACTGTTATGACCTTAGAGCATATAGGACTGGAGGTGTCAATGATAGGCAATTCCCTCAGTTAAAGTACAAACACAAAACAACCACCGCACAATAAACACTACTTTCAAATTGATGTTTTTCATTTGCATTTTCGAATTCACCGCGTCAATTGCTTCATGAAATATGTCGTCTTGCAACATACAAAAAAATCTCTGCTACATCCAATCAAGCCAAGGATGCAATTACATTTCATTTATACGTCTATTTTTTAAATTGATTGTCTATTTTTAGTTTGTTATTATAACTAATTTTTTCCACAATGATTAAATTTATCGATTACATAGAAAATATTTGGAAACATTCAAACATTTGATATAACCACGCCTATGAAGTTCCTTAATTACTGACAGGCAATCATTTCCATCCTCTAAGGGCAACCACCTTATACTATTTTATTTTTTTCAACAAAAAAACGCAATTCTACATGAACGCTGTTTTTTCGTTATAGAGAAGTGAACATGCTTTTGGCTCCGATTTTTATCGATAGATTATGTAACGAAGTTATTCAAATTGATTTTGCTCCGTCGTATTACATATCAAATAATAATGTAATGAATTATAAATAATGAAAATAAATTGTACTTGTTTTAATATAAATCATGCCGTAATGTAAGAAAAAATTAAAATAAAAAGTACATATACGAGTACATACTTACATACAATACACAATAATAAATTACAAGAGCTATCATAATAACCAAATAGTTAACTGTCCTTTTCCTATACAGGCAGAAAGAGACCCGTTCTGACAATTTCAATTTTCAAACTAGCAATTGAAATATTCAGATTTGAAACAAAGAAACTATAGTGTTGAATTAATGTTAATCTTATTTTTGAAATGACTTTTTATTAAATGTTTCTGGTAAACAACTAACAAAATATTAGTATTCGTTTTACTGTTTGGAGTTATCAATGAAAAGTCCGAAAATACATTTGCCCGAAATAATGTTTGCTCGAATTTTTGTAATTCACCATGTATTTTTTTAGATTATTTTAGGAATATTACAAAACAAACTAACTTAATCTTTTCTTTGTAATAAGCAACCAAAATTCCTTCAAAGCAAAACGGTTTTGTTATAAATCGGTTTTCGAGATTAGAAATCTTTGAGTTTACGTTTAGTTGGAATCTAGACATTCGAAACATATCGATACATTTCTTGCTGCACGTTAGAACTACCAACAGAGTGACACAGCTATTTTGACATATTTATAATATTTATGTACCCATATATGTGCACAGCTCTTATTACTTGAAGTGCATTCATATAAAATTCAACATAATACTATAAAGTTCTTAGGTTTTCGCGATTGTTACACATAGGAAATGAAACTATTTTTTCGGAATTAAATCGCGTATATTTGTTTTTTCAAATAAACCGATATTTCGGGCCCTTCACAGGTCCCATGGTCACGGTTGATTGAGGTGGTACAGTCTTATTAGACATAACTGGTTGAAGACATAAATAAGTATATATACATGTACTTATTTATTTTTGTGTACGGGTAATTGTAATTTTTTTAATGAAAAAAAGACTATTTTGTCGATAAGTGTAATAAGTATCGGCAAAACTCTATTTCCATAGACAAACAGAACGCTGACAAGTGTGCTATGAATGGAATGACGAGATAATATATACATACTACCACAATCACCTTAATCGTTCCTAATCTATCCGTCTACGCCTTAATATGCTCGCTCTGCCACTACCACAGAACACCACTGTCTGGCATTTAAGTTCAATCTATGAAAATGAGAAACGAACTCATTTCGACAGTCTTACCATATTAAAAATTAACACCATACTTAGCAATTTTTCGGCAATATTTTCTTAAGTAAAGCACAGAGTTAGAATATTGCCCGAAAATTTTGGAATGGTCAAAATGTATCAAAATATTTTTCAGTAAATAGCAAAATTGTAAGTTAGCGATATAGATAGAAATACACAATAAAATTGAACAAGATCTTCAAATTGGGAAAATTAGAAGAAAGATTTATTAGAAATACTGATGACTCTTCGGCATCCGATATATTTGAAGAACAAGAGATGGAAGTACCATGTTTGTAGTCTTTTTTTGTGAAAACAATTTTATTATAGTCAATTTTTGGGTAAAGCGTAAGTTGTCTAGAAAAATGAATAAATTGATCAAAAATTTCATGCTAATAGACTCACTTTCTTATAATGATGATTTCATTGTAATGGAAGGAACAAAAACGGTGCAGGAAAAGTTGGTTAAATTTAGGTGCTAATGACCCGTAACGTGATAATGCCGTTCTTCTCAGTAGCTGGTGCCAACATTGCGTTCTAAAAGTTTTTGACTAGAAAGCAGCTTGGCGAAAGCCACTCTGTGAGATACACGTGTGCAACTTTGAAAAAGATAACTATGACTCATCCTCAGCGCCTATGTAACAATTTTACGACTTTTTCCCGGATGATTTTTGTATTGGTGATTAAATTTCATTTGTGTTTAATTAAAGGTTTTTGTATTACAGTTAAGTATTTGGTAGTTTTATTGTAATTTTTGTTGTAGTCAAAAGGTAGTTCGAAAAAAGTTATAAAAGTACTATAAGCATTTTAGCACCAATCGTGCGCTGCCACCGCAGCAAGAGCTGCCTTTTTCAGTCCCAGAAACTTTTCAAATCTACGTTAGATTGGTAGAAATGGTACAGTTTGGCTGAAAACGTAGTGGCTTTTTATACATTGCTCTAATTGGCTCAGAAAGACAAAGGTTGACTGACCGACGGGCTGCCGACGTGAATCACTTGCCACGAGAAATGCTCAATAGATTCAGACAATTCGTTACTGAATCATCTGAGGAGCATCCTGCAAACATACCCAACGTCCGTAGAAGATGTTAAGTATATACCGCAAAAAGATACAATAAGACCTAACACATACCTATGCCAAGGTTGCAACAAATATATACGCCCTGAACATTATATGTGGTGCGCACTTTAAGTTTCCGGAATGAATAAGAAAAAATACTATAAATGGTCAGAAATGAATTTATTGTTTCTCAAAATATTCTCCGTTAGCGTTGATGCACTTTTTCATACGAATGAACCAATTTTGAAAACATTTATGCCACTCCTACGTCACAATCACTGAAACATATGTTTGATGATATTTTGTGATGAAAATCGTTGACCGTGTAACTGGTTCTTAATTTTTGGAAATTAATAAAAGTCACAAGGTGCCAGGTCGGAACTGTACGCGGGATGTCTCATAAGGTCAATGTTGTTCACCTTCAAAAATTCATTTGTCTGTCTGAACGCGTGAGAACTGGCGTTATCGAGGTGCAAGATGATACGGCGTTTACGGTTATTTTTACGGAGCTTGTCAATAAATTCCGGCAAACAAATGCTCGTGTACCTATCACTATTCACGGTACAACGGTTTCCCAAAGCAAGAGTAGCCACGTGGCCAGTTTTATTAAAAAAAGAAGCAATAATCCGCTTAGAGGCACTTTGCATGCGTGCCATTTTGGTTGGTTTCTGCTCATCTCGAAAGACCCATACGCTCGATTGCTGCTTTGTTTTGGGTTCGTAACTATAAATCCATATTTCGTCACCTGTTACTATATCCCACACCAAATTTGACGCCCCTTCGTTGAATCTGGTAAGCATGGCATTGCACCAAGTGACGCGATCCTTTTTTTGAGCCTTAGTCAAATTGTGTGGGATCCACCGAGAGCACAGCTTTTTCACACCCAAATGTTTGTGTAGTATTTATTGCTTTTGACTCATGACTATGCAACAACCCGGACACTCCATACAACAGTCGAAAATTATTTACCTACTACTACTACTACATACGGCAAGGCGCTATCTGCACACGCGCAAATGTGTGCGTGAAGTGGCAGGGTTACTCATCACTTTCTTGCGCTTACGTGATCAGAGCGGCAACATAACGAAAATGCTAACGCGAATCTGTTATCTATAAATCTATTAATCAAATCCAGAATCCTAATAATTACACATGTCTATTATGTATTTTTTATGTATTTGTTTTTAGGTATTTGTTTTTATATGTATTTATATCGATATAATATCATATTTTTCATTAATTCACTAACTAGAGTAATATTGAAGATTTATGTAAAAAATATATTAAAAGAACTTAAAATGTTAAATTTTGGACATGTACTTTTAAATAAGGTAACCAAGGTATTTGAAATTGCATGTCCAAGTTTATCATCATTACTTACTTAATGGTAAAAATTAGGTATATTCGCTACTTACGTAATATTTATCAACAATATAAATTGAAATTCGAGAACTCTTGTCTATTAGCTCACGAAGTCATGGCGCCTCATTATATTGATATAATAAATCTCTATTTTTTATACATACATACATATATTACTCTGCAGTAAATAAATGAAGAAAACAATAACCGAATGAGTCTCAGATATAAGTTTTTTTTTACTTACTTCGTTTTATCTTTCGGAAAATGATGATAAAAAGCCGTACACAGCACAATTCACGATTATTATAAATAGTAACGTAAAATTATGTTTTATATTAACGTACAAGTTTCGTAATGAATAAATGAAAACTATATTCAAATATCAAAGCCGTCTTCGCGCGAAAACGGCTCGCCGGCAGTCTTGTTGTCGTTCAGTCAAAGTGATCGTCAATGTGCGGGGCGTGGTGCGGTATCTAAAGCTAGGGAGGGGCGGAGAGTGTCCGTTCTCTTTACTTTTGTTCTCTGCCTATGCCTAAAGATGTCCGACTCTCATGGTATATCACACACCTGTCTGTTTTGATCATACGGCGCACAGCTCTCTCTCATCTGCGCGTTGTCCCGGTTGCGTCCTCAGCAGTGTTGCTGCGGAGCCCGGGGTCAGCTTTCTTGCTTTTTCTCCTCCACTTTACGCGGTCTTCGGCATCCTTAGTGGTGAGACCATTGGCACGCATATCACCCTTGGCGACGTCAAGCCAGCACTTCTTGGGTCTGCCCCTTCTACCGTGGCCCGGCGGAGGTGGCATAGTTTCCCACGTAGTATGCCGGTTTCCGTAAGATGTGGCCGTACCAACGTAGGCGGCTTTCTTGCAGTTTATCTGCAATGTCACGGACGTGAAGGCTGCCGCGGATGCGGGAGTTTTTGACACGGTCTTTTCGTGAAACTCCACACATCCAGCGCAGCATCTTCATTTCCACGCAGTGACACGCAGTTCTTGCTTATGGCGCTCAAGTACGGGCCACGTTTCACTGCCATATAAAAGGACAGGCCTAATGATGGATTTATAGACCTGTCCTTTCAGCTTAACCGGCATCTTGGGGTCACAAATGACACCAGTCACCTCACGCCACTTTGCCCAAGCGGCTGCGATTAGGGCTCTGACGTCGCAGTCGACGTCTCCGGATGCGCTAAGTACAGATCCCAAGTATTTAAACTGGCCCGTGGGCTCGACATCGTCTTCGCCTATGCGAACGGGTTGGGGATCTGTAGCGTTGCAGACCATGTACTCAGTCTTCGCCACATTTAGTCTCAGACCGCCGTTCTCAAGCGACTCCTTCCACACATTCACTCGTCGTACCAGTCTCCCTCTATCCGCATCCACCAGCGCAATATCGTCAGCGTACATAAGTATCCACGGGGGTTGCTCATGCGTGTCTCGGATGGAGCTTGAGACCTCGTCTAATATCACGCTGAACAGATAGGGATTGAGACCTGAGCCCTGGTGAACTCCGACTGTGACAGGGAAGGGTTTAGTGTCACCAACAGCAGTCCTAACCATGGAATCGGAATCGCGGTACATGTCTCGGATGATGGCAATATAAGCTTCTGGTACCCCTTTGGATGTCAGTGCCCACCAGATCATTACACGGGGGATACAGTCGAAGGCTTTCTGCATGTCAAGAAACATGAAATGCAGAGGCGTATTCTTCAATCTGTATTTCTCCATGATGACCATTAGGGCAAAAACAGGATCCATGGTCCCAAGACCAGGCCGAAACCCATATTGACCCTCCGAGACAGCACTCTCCTGTCGGATCCGAGAGTCTATTATACGCTCGAAGAGCTTCATGGTGTGGGACATGACCTTTATGCCCCGATAATTGCCACACTCCTGCACTGATCCCTTCCCTTTGAAGACTGGAGTGATAATACTCAATCTCCATTGGTTAGGGATTTTACCGGTGAGGAGCACGCGATTAAAGAGGCCGGTAAGGATGCCCACACCACGGGGACCCATTGCCTTCCAGGCCTCGATGGGAACCCCATCGGCTCCGACAGCTTTCCGATTCTTCATGCGACGAAGAGCTAAGTGGACTTCCTCAGGCGTTACCGGTCGCACTAGTCCCTGATTCGGAGAGAGGACCGGTGGCTGCACCTCTCTGTGCTGCTGATTCAGCAGCTCCTGGAAATATGAGCGCCATCTCTCCTTCACCGCATCGACCTCGCATATAAGGCTGCCATGAGGGTCTTTAATGCAGCGACACTTGGAAATATCTTGTGCCGCTAAGACCCCTCGAACGTGCCAGCTTAAAGATAAGCTTCTGCCCCTCAGACGATTCCAACTTGTCGTACAACGGCTGCAAGTGGTCCCGTCTGGCTCTGGCTACAGCTTTCTTAGCGGCACGTTTGGTATCCCTATATGCATCGCGGTCCTCAGAAGATCCGGACGCTTGCCACGTTTTGAAGAGGGCTTTCTTCACCCTCACCTCTCTCTGGACTGTGTCGTTCCACCACCAAGTTTCTTTGTCACATTTGTGACCACCCTTGGACAAGCCCAGAACCGCTTTCGCCGCCTTAGATATGGCAGCCTGAGCAGCCATACTGCGCACAGCATCGATGTATTTCTTGTTCACGGCAGTGGACGGATGACAATCACGAAATTCGTCACTGAGATTTACACGACCGCGTTTAAATTCTGTAAACCAGCTATAAATAGTCGTCTTGCATGGTGCTTCATCGTCAAAAGCAGTATGAAGCCGAGCGAACCTCCGCTGAGTATTAAATTACATTTAAAGTAGTAGAAAATCATACTACGAAAATTTTCACGAGTTAAATCCATGGTGACGTAGACAACCAATTTCTAAAATGACGCCACAATGTAAAAACAAGTGACAGTCAGATGAAACAAATTGTGGCTGTTCTACAGCCAAAAAGTTCCATTTTCGAATGTTGTAATTACTTTTAAAAATTTTTTTTGTGTTAGTGGCCAGTTCCGGAAACTTATAGTGCGCCCTATGTAATATCTTTCTACAGTGACTATAAAAAAGAAGATTCGAATCAATTTTTATATACTTTTTTCCAAAGATTATATAATTTTATTCAATGATATTATACTTGTAAACAAGTTCTATTTTTAAAGATGCCATAAACAATTGAAACAATACTGATTATTAGTGTCAAATATCTCCAGATTTTTGTTGGTTTTAGTGAATTTATGTAAAAATTTCATAAACCTAATGAAAAGTTCCTAATATTTATAATATTTATTCCAAATATTTATTTCACTTATTTCCAAACTTACAGTATGATTATGCCATTAAATAACAAACATTACGGATATTGTACGAAAACAATTTCCTACTAAAATACCGCCGGGTTAACAACCAAAAAATTTCGTATAAAATTAACAATATTTTATTAAATTTAACCAACTTCTGCTATCCCTATTCTTTTTTCTGATACAATAAAATCATTCTTAAGAAAATGAGTATATTATCAGCATTTAAAAAAATTGGTCAATTTGGAAATCATACTGAAAAATAATTTTATTAATACCGAGTTCACGAGTCTTTCACTTGCTTGCGTTGTTGTAGAAATTTACTTTCCGTGCAAAGGCGTTCACGAGTCTTGCCTTTGTTTGGGTTGTCGATACTCTCGAACCGGTTGCTGTTCTGTGATTGGCCAGTGGTGCTGTGCTCCGCAAACGTTCCTTGTTACTTGCGTGGAAATATAAAGCTTGCTAGATATCAAACTCACGCAACGCAAAGAAAGCAAGCAGCCGGCTCAAGCGAGCGACTTGTGAACAGTTCTATCTGCGTGTACGTGACAGATCTTTGCAAATGGGCGAAGCGAGTTACGCAAGTAAGCGAAAGACTCGTGAACACTGTATAAATTATACCAACTTCTGCTGTCCTAATTTTTTATCACCCTTTTAAAAAGCTGAGTCTTTCAACGTTAAAAAAAGGAGATTTTATTCATTACAACGTCAAACTTGACATTTTGTACCGTCAAGCTTGACACTTTGTACTTTGGACCGTTCTTACTGTAAGTGGCATAGAGTTGGCTTCAAATCTTCAATGTCAAGCTTGACGTGCTTTTGACCCTGTACCTGTACACTTGTTCCAAAGTATATTGCAATATCTTCCATTTATACATAATGCTAATGGATGGTCTCTAATTAACGTGTTGGTTTCATGATAACAATTTGGCAATACACCCAACATCATCTATGTGTCAACTGTCAATGTCAAAATATAATTCTATCACGTCAACCAAATGTCAAATGTCAACCACTTCATGAAAATCGTCATTTTCGCGAGTAATCTTAGGAAGTGAAATGTTTTGATTATAAAGCGTGGTGCGTTTGTTTAATTAGCGTGAAATATAATGGGGATTTACTTAATTTGTTGTGGTTGTTAATTTCAAGTGTAGTGATGACAATGAGGGTGGTGTCGTTGGTTTGTTTGGTAGGGTCCTTGATAGTAGAAACTCATGCCAACAAAGATGTGAAGGTGAGGAAAACGTGAGAGTGTCGTTGATTGCGGCGAATGGCGTTTATAGTATGTCCAATATTTAGTGAGTGATGAATATGGGTGCTTTGTGTTTATTTATAGGAGAGTACGGAGTTGTCGCGCGCTTTGGACGACCGGCCTCTCTTGTTTGCCACATTAGGAGGCGGTATGGTAGCATTGGATCCTCTTACTGGGAATATTATTTGGAAACTCAAAGATGGTGAGTTATAAAAAGTTTACATATTGATACATTAGAGGAATAATAAGTCACTGTCTATTACTATAATTGATTATAACTTATTGTAATCCAATTTATTGTATTGTGTCCATTTATAATATTCATTTTAAAATACATCCTTAAATAAAATACTAGATGATAATAACACTTGTTAACTACATTAATTTCTTTCTTAATAATTTATTATTTAGTCAAAGTCAAATAATTATTTATTCCACAGGTAAAATAAATTTACACTTGAAAACGTAATTTTATTAAGCCATTGTTCATTCACTGTGCTGACTTCTCTGCGAAGAACAAGCAAGAAACTAGCGTTTACTCAATTAGATTAAATGAGGACATAAAATATCGAGTTCTTAGGTATTTGGGATTGTTACACATAGGAAATGAAACTATTTTTTATGTCATGGGTCCCACCCGCAGGTCACCAGTGAACCAGAGACCTGTAAAGGGCCCAAAATATTGGTTTGTTTGAAAAAACAAACAGTTTAATTTCCTATGAGGATGCAAAAGTTGAATATCAAACAGTCAAGAATATGAGTAATAGTTGACAACCTCAATGATGAAAGTGAATGCAATATTGTTGCTTGATAAGATTTTTTTTAGTGTCCCTATGTTTTTAATATTATGTTTAATTTCTTCAGTTGTGATATATTGCAATTATAATTATTTATGAAACATTTTTCTGACTTTTCGCGCATAGGGATTCCACTTTGTGTAACCTATTAGAAATGTGATTTATTATTATTAGAAATATTAGCAATTTGAATCACCTGACTTCACAAGTAAATTGCCAAAAAAGTTTTATAGCTGCAAAAACCATTCAATAACATCATTCAATCATCGTAGCACTGATTCTTCCTAAGCAGATGTTGGCGGGATTGTTGCATAAAACAACATTATATGCCACATAGAACTTGACTTGACTTGATTTGTTTATCACTGGCCATTTATATTTAACTGCCTGGGTGGTTAGGTTCAGTCAACTCTGAGCCTAAAAAATATATCTCCATATCAGATGGTGTGATGTTGGTCCATGACACGGGTTTTTAGCACATTCATTTTGCATCTACTATTACTGCTATCCATCATAGGAGGTTTCTTGCAATTCTCTCTTTACTTATTGTCAGCGCAATACATTTGCTTTCATTCTTCCCTCTCAGCCATCACTTAATTGTTCAATTATATGTTATTAAGATCTTAGGTTTTTGTGATTGTTACATATTGGAAATGAAACTATTTTTTTGGACCTAAATTGCATATATTTGTATTTTTAAACAGTTGTGACTGTGGTATCTTTAAAGGGCCTGAAACATTGCTTTGTTTGAAACAATAGATGTGGTTTAGATCCAAAAAAATAATTAATTTCTAATATTTATTAATATAATTTATTATTAATAGGGATCTGTGCAGTCTTTCATCACTGCAACCATTAATTGATATACTGTTAAAAAAGCTCTAATTAGCAGTTATCAGTGCCTTTGGATGTTCAAAACAATTGGTCTGTAGCCAGATGTGCTGGGTCTAATTTAGCAGATTGAGCTTTGCCAGGCCGTGTGCTATACCTAACAAGGGCTTGGGACCAATTGTGTATGACAGCACCATTCTTTTTGAACTATTTTTTTTATATTTTTTGTTTTCTTTATTGTCTATTATATATTGAAGTTCGATGCTCAACTGTTTTTTTCTCAAAGAAATAATACACAGTCCGTGAGGACAAGAATACCAATGAAGACCTTCAAAATATAATCTTTTAAACAGTCCTTAGACCTTTCCAAAACAATGTGTCTCTCATTCTTTTTCATGTCTATATCACCATAACAAAATTAGTGATTAGCAATTACCATTTTGTAAATAAATTATTGATAAAGTATTAAATAGATAACAGCATTAATCCATATAGTGATTTTCCCATATACTTGTCGATGTATTATAAAGTGAGAGTTTTATGAATAATTATGTTATAACTATAACATTACATATTATGAGTAATTAATTATGATTAATTGTGGATTCTTACAGTTTAAAAGTATATGTTATTTAAGATAATTTTGGACATATTAAATTGGATTTTAAGTAAACATAAACTAAAAAAATATGTACGGATCAGCGCATCAGACTACACATTTTTGTTCGAAAATCGCCTTCAGTGCAACGGAACAAGATACGTCAATGTGTAGCTTGATGTGCTGTTGACTGTACATGAGTCTGTGTGAGTGAATGGTTCTGTTCACCTAAAAGCCTTTTGGCACGCCTTTCTAGTGGATTCAGAGTCGACACTTAGCGGAACCGTTCCATAGGTGGCAACAGTACTCCATACGAGACCGAACTAGTGCTTCGTACAGTTGAAGCAAGTGTCTCAGGGTAAAGTCCCTACCTACCGACCCCAGAGATGGGGCGCTCCGGAGACTACGGGCTCCCCGGCAAGATCAGGGTACAGGGTTGTCCGGGCCGAGCCCTCCGATACTGATACGCCTTCACGGGCATCTATGGTGGACCCGAATTTGGGTATGGACTCGCTGGGGTTTGTGGTGAGCTGCAGAGACGGATATGTTCGTCTGCCCCGGGGGTGTGTGGCCGGCCGGGTCGGCTATGTCGTGCGCAGCTAGCGCGTCTTAGTAGCGGTCTAGACGCGGACATGATAAAAAAATTTCACAAAAAGTTTTATGAAAAAGTAAAGCGTTATTTATTTGTTTCTACAGAAATATTGATATTAATTTATCGGACCTACATAACAATTCATAGATAAGGCGTAAAAATCTGAGTTATGTTTATAATAATTTATTAGATTAGGTTTAATGTTGCAATTTCGGGAAAGTCACACGCAATAGTCGTGACATTTCATATAGTTCCGGCCGAACAAAAATATATTATGTATTACATTTATATACTTGTAATATGGCAAAATATACATTGAGTAATTGTTCTCAATCATGTGATTAATTTTTGCTTTTCATTATATTGCAAAAACATGCATTCATTAGGTATCAGTTATTTGCTTGAGAATAAGAATTACCCACATATTTATTTTTTTGTGTTTCACGTAATAATACAGTTGATTTGAAAATTAGTCCATATATTATTTAAATGCAATTTCTACTTAATAAACAATTATTCTGTTTTATAACTAATGCTTCAACTGTTATATTATTCAATATTATTTTGTGTTAATCCAAGCTTAATATTTCTGATACACAAGATTAAATATGTAGATTATTTTTGTAGAGATAAACAATTTTATCCAATTTATATATATATGATTACATACTTGATGTTTGGCCGGGCACAGTGAAACTATAATAAGGACTATGAGCTTATACTGGGTTAATTAATTAATATATTTTGATATGGAGTAACCAGTCTATCTATACGAGACTGATATGAAGCCTTACTTCTGGGAACAATTTAATAGGGGTCTCGGATATTTTTGTTGTTTTAGGGCCCTTTGTATCATTGATGAATCATTTAGGTTTATCCGATCAATTTTTATTCGTTTATTTTTTAACAAAAACATTGAAGAATTTTCGTCATATCTTTCATACGCACATGGTTGTTTAAGTATCCTTGTTAGTACTGATCACGTCTCTTTCCGTAAGGCGTATGGTTTTAAGAACACAATGCTCTGGCCACACAGAGGCGCCCGCGGAAGCGTTCTGGGCGCGGGAATTTTATAATGTACGAGTTCACATATGTTTACAAAAGTACATTACAAAAATTCCGCGCCCGGAACGCTTCTGCGGCCGTCTCTGTGTGGCTTGAGTATAACAGTTTAAGCGACTGTAAAATATTTTTAATAGAAGTAGCGTTCCTTGTGAAACATTTCGTCTAGGGAAGTACTATACCATATCTGTATCTGATGCCAAGCATGCACTTGGGACTTATCAACTTATGTCTCTGCGTGATGGGCGCAGTGACAGTGCCCCTCAGTTCTATGCGGTTTAAAACTCCAAGTGGCACTGCAACTATTGTGGGTAGGCGTATCGCTTGCCAGCAAGTGCATGACTAATTCGCCCATTATTTAATACTCAAAAAAAATGTTATTGCTACAGTATCTGTCTAAGTGCACAGTTCATGCGCCAGGCCAAGTTTTCTAATAAATAACGGCCGTATACACGAGGCGCATTTTACGCGATCGGTTTAAGTTACTTTTGACTCACTGCGTATTCAGATAAGCAGATAACGTTTTACACGTAGTAATCATCGTTCCACATACTGCAAAATTTTACAATGTATTTTAATAGTCCAAAGTTTGTGTGGCAAAATAGCTAATTTTTGTACTCAGTGGCTTTAGACCACGTCTTATAAAACTAGCACAATGTTTGACTCGAATACAGTAAAATGTACAGGGAGTCTACTCTCGATCTCCGTCCGATCCATCCGAAACAATTACTGCCAAATAAGGACTCTAACACTGAACTTCGACACACGCGACTCCGACAACATGTTACATTGACATGATTTTACTCAGACATTACGTTACTCCGACAATATGTTACTTCGACATTATTTTACTCAGACACTACGTTACTCCGACAACATGTTACATCGACATGATTTTACTCAGACATTACGTTACTCCGACAATATGTTGTATGAAAATAATGTCGAAGTAACATATTGTCGGAGTAACGTAATGTCTTGGTAAAATCATGCCGATGTAACATGTTGTCGGAGTCGCGTGTATCGAAGTTCAGTTTTAGAGACCCAAACAAGCAATAAATACTTGACCAAATGAAAAGACGCGAATGCGAATGGAGCTTCATACTTGATACTTGTCTTTTAAATTTGTCGAATGTTACTTATTTGACAGTAATTGTTTCGGACGGATGTCGGACGGAGATCGAGAGTAGACCCCAGAGATTTAAGGATAATATCATAAAAATTGTTTAATGGGAGTTGTGTAAGCCAAAAGCAATAAGTAACTTTACAAACAAATTGTCATTTGCGACTTTTCAGAATCGACTTTTTAGCCATAATTATAA